AGAGATGGAGTCAGCATGTTTTAGATGTTCTATGGAATAAATACTGGTACTATTAAGTTTCTGTTATTACAGTTGAAAACACATAAGGTCGCTGTGCTTCAATAAAACTTTGTTTACACAGACAGAGGTCCAAATTTAACCAACCGATCATAGTTTACTGAACCCTGCTGCTCCAGGATCTCAAATAATGGATTCTAATAAACTGCTGATAATCTAAAATCAGCCACTGTGACTCTCCAAACACCTGCCACAGCCACTAAGGACTCATTTATCTCCTATAAAGAGCCTCCAATTTTATCAATATGGGGATGGGGAAAGAAAGGATGGGGGTTTTATTTTTTGTCGATTAAGTGGACTTATTCTAGGTAGCCACCAGCTTTTCACTCTTTCAGATCATCTGGGTGGTATTCTGTACACAGGCTACTTTTGTGGCAGAAAAAGAGACTGCAAACCAATGACTCATAAATCTCATCCCCCCTCCACCAGCCCAGCTAGACCACTGAACACCCGCAGTCTCTGCATCTCCATTTGACATTGCCCACAGAGATGCCAGCCTACTGACACATCCCCAACTGATACTGATGGATTTTAGGGGAGGCACACATTTGTAGAATGGCTCTCAGGTTCCCAAGACTAGCCCTAAACTAGACCAACCTACTCAATACCAGTCGCTGAGGGCCAGAACTGGGAACCAGGGAGAAGGCTAGGATGCCAAACTTTAAATAACAAAAACCAGGTATCTGCTTGAGAACTTTCCATGAGACAAAGCTATTGGATAACTGTTGCTGTTTCTACTCTTAGTGTCGTATTCTCCAAAACGGGAAGGTGGCAATTTTCTCCCTCCATTTATTTTTTTTTAAAGATTTATTTATGCATACAAGAGCTGAGGTGAAGGTAAGAGACGTGGTGGGTGAGAGGATTCACCAGAGACAGAGTGGGAGCAGAACAGGCAGATGTACTGAAATATACTGCTAAGGGGAGAAGAGGGCAAGTCAGGAGAGGTCTGCTGCACCATGTTGGTCACCTCCCTGGCTGGTGACGAACTAGTGCTGGTGACGAACTCGTGCTGCAGTGGCCACCAATAGCTTCACAGAGCTGCAATCTCAACCTCTTGTGCCACCAGGGAGGCCCCTCCTCCTTCCCCTTTTCTACATTTTTAATTACCACAACTAGGGGGCACACTACGGCATCTTGTGGGAAGAAACAGCAGAGATCCTGCTAAACACCCTAAAATGCTGGAACACATATCACCAACAAAGAATAACCCAGTCCCAAGTGTCAGTAGTGCCAAGGGGAGAAAATGGGACTTCACACAATATGACAGTGCCTCAAGCACCTATTCACAATCCAATTAAATTTCAGAAACTCAGCTCCAAAGACCACTTTGATTGATATGGCTGGTTGATTAGATGAAAGAGAGAAACAGCAGTGTGAGTTAAACTTGCTGATGGAGCTGTTTGTTGTCTCTTTGTTGTTTTGAGAAAGAAAAATTACTTTGCTGAGATTAATCTATAAAGAAAGCTGGAACAAATAATTTCTGTAGTTTCTTTGAGCTCCAAAGTCTTATGCATATAATAAGATGGGTGAAATTCTAACTTTTATGTTAGAGTTTTCTGGTAACTTCCCCCAAACCATGAAATCTCTATGAGGTTAAAAAGTGAAGGCCTGGGTCTCCCGTGGTGGCACAGTGGTTGAGCGCTGGGCTGCGAAGCTGCCTGCAGTCTCTGCAGCACCAGTACGATCCCCGGCTGCTGGCGAGGGTTCCACATGGTGCACAGACCTCTCCTGCTGCGCCTGCTGCTCCCCTCAGCAGTGTATTTCATTGGCCTGCCTGTTCTGTTTCCCGCTCTGGTGAATTCTCTCACCCTCCCGAGCTTCTGACTGTACCCAGTGCTTGTATAAATAAATAAATAAATCTTAAAAAAAGAAAAAACTGAAAGCCAGATCACTGTGCTTTGGAATATGGAGAAAGGCTACTGAGATATTTAAGAGTACACAAGAAATAAAGTCCAAATAAACAACTGGATAAATTGAAAGTTTGTACATTTACCATTCGTGTAGGAAGAAAGTGCTACTGAATTAATATCCATCACCCCCCAAAAAATATCCATCACCCCCAAAACGTATAACATGGATTGCCCTCAATCAGAAACTTGAAAACAGCATCTGTTTTACTTGTTACAGTTTACCTATTACACACTGGTATTAACATTGGCAACAATATATTTTTTCCTGACAGTCTACCTACAGTATTCAGGAAACATTATAAAGGATCAAAGTCCATAAGTAAAAATGCACCCTCTCTCTAAAGAAGGTAGATGGCCTATAGGCACATGAAAATATCCAACATCACTTATTATTATAAGGAAATTGCAAATTCAAAACCACAATGAGAAGCCACCTCACTCTTCTGAGAAAGGCCCATATTAAAAAGAATGGAAACAACAAATGTCGGCAAGGGAGCGGGGGAAATGGGAACATACACTCATCCATTATAGGTGGAAAGGTAATTTGGTGCAGCCTCTATGGAAAATGGTATGGAAATCCCTTAAAAAAATGAAAAAGGAAATGGCATATGATCCATCAATACCACTTCTAGGCATTTACCCAAAGCATATAAAAATTCTAACACCAAAAGATTTATGCACTCCTGTGCTCCTAGCAGAATTATTTAAAATAGCCAAGTCATGGAACCAACCTTAGTGCCCAACAGACAACTGGATAAAGAAATTGTGGAATAGACACTCAATAGAATACTACTCAGCTAATTAAAAAAGATGAAATAGTGCCTTTTAGGACAAAATGTACAGATCTTAATGTGGTTATACTAAGTTAAATAAGTCAAAGTAAAAAACACATACTGGAGAGTTATTTGTAGAAAATAAATAAACGAAGATCACATACCGGCAAAGCACAGTAAAAATAATTCTTAGATTATGTGAAAAAATGCAGCAATTACCGAGGGGTTGGTGGGGAGGGAGGAAGAGCTAGGGAAGGAAGGCAGTAGGTCACTGGCTTGGGAGTTTTGGTAGAGGTGAGTGAAGCATGTGTACATGGAGGTGTGAAAATGTAACCCAAAGTCAGGGAGTATTTTAAATGGCTGACATATAAAATTTGAGGGGAAATTTTTTTTTTTAAAGTAATTTTTTTTAAAGATTTATTTATTTATATTTATACAAGCACTGGGTACAGTCAGAGCGCGGGAGGGTGAGAGAATTCACCAGAGCCAGAGCGGGGAGCAGAGCAGGCAGAAGGACCGAAGTACACTGCCGAGGGGAGCAGCGGGCGGCAGGAGAGGTCTGCGCGCCATGTGGGACCCTCCTCTGGTGGCCAGGGAGCAGCCGGGGATCAAACCGGCGCTGCAGAGGCTGCGGGCAGCTTCGCAACCCAGCGCTCAACCGCTGTGCCACTGGGGAGGCCCTGAGGGGAAATTTTTAAAACAATAATTTAAAACTTTAAGAATAACAAAATCTAGTTGTTTTTCAACATGGCCTTGAAAAAGTCACTTTTTTTAAAATCCATCAGATCAAAAAAAGGTGGCATTTTATTTGGACATATTAAAAGAAAATGTCTATAGAGATTACCAAATCTTGAGGGAATTGACTAAATGCAGACAGTGTGATAGTAGACACTGTAAAAGAATTTTCAGTTATCCATTGAAAGTTACCACTTTTAATGAAAAATATAATAAAAATATGTAAATATATAATTCTTTAAAATCTACAAATTTTAATAACCAAGTTTCCTGGATCCTTTCAAAAAGAAAAAAGTACATGTAAAACTGAGAATGATTGCCTGTATTTGAACTCAAGCTTCAACCTATTACCGCATATTTTCAGGAATCATGATTTGAACTTCACACACTTCAAGGAATGTTACCAGACTAGGTCACAAAGTGGAAACCAACCTTTCTCTACCCCATCAATCCATTCTCCTAGCTTGTTTAATATTTAATGCTCCAAACCCTGAGGACACCGAAGTCTCTGCTCAATGATTAGTCTTGTCAACGAAGAAAACCAGGTCATCTTTTATAGATCAAGAAAACCAGGTCATCTTCTATAGATCAAGTCTATTTCTACACTCAGTGACCACAAGAGAGTTAGACCAAGGGTTCCCCAAAACACAGTATGACACATTTCTCTCGCAATTTTTGCATTCTAGTTGCATACATATATAGTTTAAGTGTTATACATATACGATCGGTATATATATTTTATGTATATGTAAAAGATCAGAAAGATATACATTAAGTAGATTTACTTGTGATTTCCTTTTGTCTTACTGGTTTTTATTTTTGTTTGTCTATAGCTTCCAACTTTTTCTATATTAAGCCTAACTTTTGCTGAAAGAAAAGTAAGTAGTATTCCACGTGTGAATTCATTTCCTTTCATTCAACCTCTTTCAAAATGAATTTCACGTACCCGACCAAAAAAAAAAAAAAAAGCAAGTGTACAGAAAGATTTCTTTCAAAGTGAGAGCAGTTAGAGACAAGGGCAAGAAGCAAGTGCAATAAACTCTGAAGAAGCCAAAGGCTGAAGCTGTTAGCCAGCACATAAGCCCTGCACACTAGCCGGAGGAAGGCATTCATTCGCCTGAGTTTCTTGGCATCTACAGAACATTCCTCTGGGCCCTCCCTACCTCACCCCCACCAGCCCTAATTAAGCTTCGTTTAGGGAAGGGTAATGAGACTATTTTCCTACATTCCCTGATCATACTCCCAGATGAGATCATGCAGTCCAGAAATGTATTGAGGGGAAGGAGCTCACCATGGATACAACCAATAGAGCACTGACTCTTGTTGCCCCACTGCTCCAGGGGTTAAAAGTCAGTGTGTACAGAGCTCAGAATCTCCCAAAGGGTGTTGTTTTGACTTCTGACAAGTCTCCCCCTGTGCAGCTCCCTGCCTATGGAGGAAGTGGTGAGGGCACACTCAATCCATGACAGACTACGTTTTGTGCGTGCTGGTCCTTTCCAGCAAAGCCACGTAGCATAGCACTCACCATAAGCGGTCATGACTCCAGCGTATGGTCCGTCCACCACATTCCTGTTTTCTTCTGCCAGCGCCTTGATGTACCTCTTGCTGAGGTCCAAGATCTGCTCACGCAGCATGGAGCTGCTTTCAGGTTGAGTTCGCTGCTGGATGGTAAAATGGAGGAGCATCATGCCCCAAATAAAGCCAAAAGTCACGAGGAAAAATCCCAGCTTCTGAGAGGACAGCTTCCACGGAGTAAAAAGAGCCATTGCTCTCTGGCAACTTCACTGGCCCTTGGCTCTTACAATGAGGAAAAGAGACACAAATTCATGGTGTAGGTTTGTGGGTTCATCGGTCTCACTCTGGCTCCTGTGTCAGCCGATTTCCTTTCCTCGCTTCCATTCTGCTGTGAAGAAGGAGGAAAATTAGCAGAGTGGTGACGGCAAGACACGGCGCAATAAACCAGAAGCTATGTTTTCACTTGACTAGCTCTAAAACGTGGACTTCCTTTTTTTCTTAGTTTGCTGGTTCAAGATCTTATGATTCAGCCTGAGAGAAGAATTCTGGCGAGGCGACAAGAAGCTGTACAAATACGAAGGGGGAAATGTGTGTCTGAGCATGTTAACAGGTGTAACGGGGCTGTTCCAGCCTGGACCAAGTTCAAAACAGGAAGCTTGTTTTGTAAGGTGGGGAGAAGATGGAAGGGTTTTTTCAGTGAATGTCAGCAAAAGCCCAAGTGGGGGGCGGAGTCATGTCACCAGCGGGCACTTTGTGCACGTGTAACTTAAGCTTACAAAGTCATTATTATGTGCTCTGGCAGGGATTAGAGCATGCAGCTGGAGAGGTGAGCAAGAAAGTGGATGCCCTCTTAGGGTAATCAGATGACAGAGGGGAAGAGCACCTCCACATTATTTGAGCATGGCCAGTTTTCATTAGCAATGTTGGGGGTCTCTTGAGGGGAGGGGAGGCCACCAGGCACTCTCTCCCCAGGAGCCAGCACAGACACTGTGGCACAGGTACCGAGTCGCTTTTCCACTGAGGTGACTATGGATGAAACGCTCACCTTACCTCACCTACTTTTTTCCACACTTCAATATAGGAAATCTGGAGTACCCAACAGTTTGCTATCTGTGTTCTCATTTTCACTCATACCACAGGGCAAAATGAGAAGTTCAAAGGCATAGGTTTTCGTTTTCATTTTCTTTTTTTTTTTTTTAAGATTTATTTATGCATACAAGAGCTGGGGTGTAGGCCAGAGGTGCGGGGGGTGAGGGTTTCACCAGAGACAGAGTGGGGAGCAGAACAGTTGGACAGACGGAATAACACTACTGAGGGGAGCGGTGGGGTAGACAGAAGAGGTCTGCTGCACCATGTGGGTCAGCTCCCTGGGTGGGGATCGAACTGCTGCTGCAATGGCTGCCGATAGCTTGATAGTGCTGAGACTTAAACCCCTGTGCCACCAGGGAGGCCCCCCAAAGACAGAGTTTTTAAGTAATGCAGCTAGATCCTATCTGATATCAGCACAGGTTGGACCAAGTTCCTAACAAAGGGGGCCTAACCATAGGTTGCAATGTGTTACAGATTGATTAAGACAGCCACACTTCTGCCAGAGTCCTGGGCCCAAGAAGCAAGCAGCTTACAAATGGTGCCATTTTCAAAGTGTGTCAAGGGAAGGCTGAGCAATGACCTCCTCCAGACTGACCCAAGATGCACTCAGAGTGCACATGTTTCCGATCAAAGGATTCTTCTTCATAAGCAGCAGTGCAGTGGGCCTGTGTTGGTCTGTTTCTCTGCCATTCCCTCACCTACCAACAGTCATCAGTAATGGATAACACAGCTGCTGAAACGGAGCCAACTCAGGGGATCTGGATTCTGGATAGACAAGTGCTCACCTCTGCTTAAAAATGCAAGTCAGGGCCCAAACACAGACATGATAAGGAACGGTAAGACATTAGACTGTTTACTGGTTTCTGTGTGGGATCCCATGATATCCTTTGTAGGATGCCCCTACAGACCTTCTCAGAGAAAGTCACCACCCCAGGGAAATGATAAAATACCTTCTAAGTGAACGTGTCCTCTGGGCGTTATGGGCCCTTTATTCAACCCTTTGGGGTGTAGCTCAGCTGAACAGCACCTGCTCTTTTCCCCCTCCAGCCATTTTACAACCACATACAAGTGCTTGCTGCCCCCGGACCTGGGGACTGAACGTGAACACAAAGAATTGCCACCTCCAGGGGCTTCCGAAGCCTTCCTTCTAACTGGGTGCTGCCCTAGTTCCTCAGGAAGTGGCTGTGCTTCCTTGCCAGCACCCACACTCATTAGCCCTGTTGCCCCAGGGCTAAAGGGATTTTCCTAGAGCAAGTAAACTACCTGTTTTATCAAGAAAAAACATGCTTCTGGTGATTTGCTTTTCCTATTTTAGGAGAGAAGCCCAAACGTCGACAAAAATTACCTATCCACTTTGAGGAAGGAAACCGTATTCCGCTTCCTGATTCATCCCCTGAAGAAGCTGCTCAAGACTGCAGAGTTTAGGTAAAGGAAAGAACTAGGGCCTCAAGTGAACATGGTGGAGGCTGTCTTTGCCTGGAGGACAGTCACCCACCCAAGTGGTGTATTTGAGAGGCAAAAAGATGGTCAACAAACAGCCAAGGTTAAATTAACCCAGTACAGGAACATACAAATTTGGAGTAAAAATCGCTAACTAAGAAGTTTTTAGGTCATAGTTCTGAGGACTCAGGGTCTAGATTTTAAGTAACTACTGCCAGGAATATTCTTTGTCCAATGGAATCTATAGTTCGAAAATGACAGAAGCCGTATCAGCATATACACAAACACTCAGAAAATTAAATTAGAATGACTTTTTTATAATATTAACAAGATGTTAAAAGATGTTTCAAACTCATCATCAGGAAGACACCCCTAGAGTAATAGAAGGATAACAGGACAGAAATCTTCAGCAGAGGATTAATCCTGTAACAGGACTTAATGATGATCATCATTAAAAGCCACACAATCAAGAGGTCACAGACCAACAGTGAACAAAAAGTTATCAATCAGACTAAGAATCTGCCTGCTTCTAGATCTTACAGCTGGATCCTCTAGCAAACTGCATCCATTGACACAAAGAGGACTACACAGCAGATGATCTAATAACATTTCATTCCATGTCCTTCTACTACTTTGGAGAGAAAAAAACAATCCCAAGCAACTTTTTGCTCTTTCGTTGTACGTGGACCTTTCTCTTAGAAATGGTGGTTTCCAAGGACCTAGCAATGATATGAAGTGAGAATTTACTGTACCATATATCCCAGAAAGGCTTGTCAACCAGATTAGTGACAACACAGGGCCATAACTTCGCTCTACTCCAGGAAGACCTTTGCAATGACTTGAAGTATCTAAGTCCAGCACCTCAGTGAGCCACCCTAATATGCAGCACCCCTATTCCTATAATTCCTAAAGGAACAGTCAGAAGGATACCAGTACCCCTATATTTATAGCACTATTCATAATAGTAAGATATGGGAACAACCCAGATGTCCAAAAATAGATGACTGGATCAAGAAGATGTGGCATATATACACAATGGAATATTATTCAGCAATCAAAAAAAGATAAACTCATGCCATTTGCAGCAACATGGATGGAGCTGGACGGGATTATACTCAGTGAATAAGACAGAAGGAAAAAGGAAAATACTGGCTGGTTTCGCTTATAGGAGGAATATAGGGGGACCAAATAAGGGATTGGGAAAAAATAATTATAATGAATAAACAAAATTAACAGGCAACTATATATCAAACACATTTTGTAAGGGAGTTGGTGGGAGAAGGATCACAACAGGGGCAGGAAGTGCATAGGGTCTATGGTGATGGTACAGGGGTGAATAGGTGGTGCAAATTTACGGGGACTACACCTGAGAGGAGAAAGCTATAAATAACATTTTTTTAAAAAAGAGCAGTCATCACCTCCTTTCTTCCCATTTGCTCTTCAATGATATCTGACATCCACCTTTCCAGACCTGGCCAACAATCTTTGGCATAGAAATGTGTCAGTTCTTGCAATTTAAACATTAGGAGCATGTGAAAAGATGCTCGAGCATTAGGGAACTGCAAATCAAAGCACAAGGAGATACCACTTAAGCCCATGAGGAGGACCATAATCAAAAAAGACAGATAAGAACAAGTGTTGGTGAGAATATAGAGAAATTGGAGTGCTTACATATAGCTGATGGGAATGTACAATGGTGCAACCAGTGTGGAAAATTCTGACAGCTCCTTAAATGATTAAGCAGAGTTGCCATGTCACTCAGCCACCTCTGCTCCTAAGAATTTTTCCCAGAGAGAAGAAAGCACATGTCCCACACAAAACACTTGTACATGCAAGTTCACAGCAGCATCATTTATAATGTGACAGAAAATGAAACCCCAATACCTACCAACTGAGGGATGGATAAGCAAAATATGGTATATCCATTCAGTAGAATAGTCTAAAAAGAAATGAAGTCCTGATACATTCTATATCACATCCCTGAAAATATTATGGTAATTGAAAAAAGGCAGCCTCAGAAGACCACACATTGAATGATTCCATTTATATGAAATCTCTAGAATGAGAAAATTTTTGGGGGCAGAAAGTATAAGCATTGCTTAGGGTACAAGGGATTAGGGGACTTGTAAGGTGATAACTAAGGCATGCAGGGGTTTTTTGGGAGGTAATAAAAGTGATGTAAATTTGTCCATCTTTCCTTGGGAATAGGAGGAGAGGCCAGGTGGTAAGGCCCACAGACCCACTGCAATTCCAGCAAGGCTGCTGCAGCCCAGCTAGGACCCGGCAGCACCATACAAAGGGTCAACCACAGGCCAGTAGCTACAGGAGGAAATGACACAAACATCTGTTGCCAGTTCAGCAGATATGGCTACTTCTACAGGTTCCAGATCAACCTCACAGGCTGTCCGCTGGAGGGATCCTGGTCTACATTGCCTGGCAATTTCTCATACCATTTGAGAATACCCTAAAAAGCAGCCTAGTTCAATGGGGTACAAACTAGACTGATGAAGCCATTTCTTCAGGTGCTCCTACAGTGTCCTCGGAGGCCCCATCACTTACATCAACACCTGTCTCTTAAGAGAATGAATCAAGTTGAAAATGCTGTCCCTTCAGAAGCAAGATCAGCCCCAACCAAGGAGAGTTATATTTTCAGCAGCCCCCTGGGGCAATCCTGTCACAGCTTGCTGGTCCAACATTCACATGGGACAGCACTGCTCTAACTCAGTCATTCACATACCTCTGTTGTCCTAACCATGCACCACCTAAACCATTTATCTGTATTTCCTTTTTTTTTTTTTTAATTGAAGCACAGTGGTTTACATCCTAATTAGCATCTTGGATGTATAGGACTGTCCCACT